TGAGGGGCTCAAAAATTTTAAATGTTGTTCATTTTTAGTTTTTTAGTTTTTTTTTACTTTTTAGTTTTTTTTGTTAATTATGTATACTGTGTGCACTACTTTTACAGGGCTTGGGCACAGATGATGACTGCCTTATAGAGATTATATGTACCAGGACCAATGCACAGATTGCAGCCATCAAAGAGGCCTACAAGAGATGTGAGTATGAGATGATATGTCACAAAGTGTGGTTAATTTCATCTTTTGAATGCACTCTCTGCACCCTGAGATCCACTGACCACTGCCAAGGCATGCTGATTTGAGAAAACTTCAGTTAAGTTTCCAGTGAAACTCGGGGTGATCTCCCCTTGTGCTAACCTTTTTTTTTGATGACTTTACACATCTTATGATGAAAGACAAAACAGAAGTTGTACATGTAGAACATCTAAAATATCTTGAACTGCATTATAAGAAAAAGAAATCACCCAAAAGATCATGAGGAAATAGTAAATACAGAGAAGAAAAGATGCTATTACAGAGAGAGTGGATCTTTATTTATTATAAAATTTGTTATGGATATAGTTTGAAGGTCTATCCTAAAATTATAGCAAAATGCAATCATAGCAACATACTTAAATATGGTTTAATGTAATATTACTAGCAGGTTGTTATTATTTAACTGCCTTTATTCCTAATATTTTGTAAGTGTTCAACAAGGAGTTGGAGAAGGCCATAATGGATGACACATCTGGCCATTTCAAGCGTCTTCTGGTATCACTGCTACAAGGGAACCGAGATGAGAGTTCAACATTTGACAGGACTCAAGCCCAGCAGGATGCACAGGTACTTGTTATTAATAGTTCTAAACATCATAGAAGAGGCACACATAGGCTTTTACTATACTGAGTTTAACCCAGCGGGCAAATCAACATTGAATCAATGTTGAATCAACGTTGATGGTCAACGTTGAAACTATGTTGATATGACGTTGACTATGAAAGTTGACTCAACGTTGAACCATCAAGGTTGAATCAACCTTGAGGTATCAATGTTGAATCAACGTTGACGGTCAAGGTTGAAACTATGTTGATATGACGTTGACTATGAAAGTTGACTCAACGTTGAACCATCAAGGTTGAATCAACCTTGAGGT